CGAAGAATGCTGTCACCTGGGCATGGTAACGCTCGAACATCTTTCGAACTTCGTCCTTTGACTCCAACAAATAGATTACGGTGAAGTGGCTAAAATCATCGATGAACGTTACATAATATCGCTTTCCGTTCCAGGTAGTCGGAGTGAATGGTCCGCACACATCCGAGTGGACCAATTCTAGCAGTCGGCTTGAACGTCGTTCCGTCGATTCTTCAAATGCTTGCCTAGTCTGCTTCCCAGCCAAACATATTTCGCAGATACAACTATTTGGCCAGTCTTGAATTTTCGAAGAAGTTTCAACCATCGCATTCTTCCACAGACTCTTCAGATTACCTGCGCCAAGATGACCATACCTTCTATGCCACAAATCGAACCCATCGCTTTTGAACACCATCGCACTTGCGCATCCTGCCTCACTTCCGTCTCGGACAAAAATATCTAACGCATACAATTGACCCAATCGCCGACCAGTACAGACAATACGACCGTCCTTTTCTATAGTCACCTTTCCGCTGACGATCTTGACTGTCATATCATTATCTTCCAATCTCCGCACCGAAAACAGGTTGCATTGTAGCTCCGGCACGTATAATACCTCGTTTACCACGGCAGGTTGCTTCTTTCCATCGACCAGCATATCCACTCTTACGGTACCAGCGGTTTCAGCAACAATAACTTGGCCAGACTTCGCAACAGCTATGTGCATTTTACGCTTCAACGAATGTAATTCTTCGAACAACGATTTGTCTTTCAACATGTGATCAGTGGCGCCTGAGTCCAGGAACCACTCTATCTTCCGATTCTTCGACGAAGTCAGCAATGCACCACTGCCAGCGCTCGTAGTCGCAATGAAGGCCACCTCATTTTCGCTCGTAACATTCGCTCCAGCTTTCTGCCGTCGTCCAAATTTGCCTCCAGATTTCCAGTTCTTCTCTCGATCCTTTCTGTCGACTTGACGGTTCTCAGGACATTCAGCACGCTTGTGTCCAACACGACCGCAACCGTAACACTTGTAGCCAGCTTTTCTTCCAGCGAACGCAGATTCACCACTGCCGTTTTCTTCGTAATTCGTTGAACACTTACCGGACCGCTTCACTTGCTCATCCAACAAACGTTTCTTGACGTATTCGAGAGTTAATTGATCGGGCTGAATGGTTTCCAAGGCAGTAATCAGAGCTTCATAAGATTTCGGCAGGGCTAACAAAAGTTGACAGACGACGTCTTCTTCTTCAGTCTTCACTCCTGCAGCTTTCATCTCACGAAGTACCTTCTCGAACTGGAGCAAAAATGACTTGACGTTCTCTTCTTCCTTGAGCCGCAACTCTTGAAACTGCTTCCGTAAGAATAGTTTTCCAGCGATTCCGACCCTTTCAAAGGCGTTCTTGAGCGCATCCCAAGCTTCCTTCGCAGTTCTCTTATCCTTCACATATTCCAGCTGATCTTCGGCTATACGGTGAATTAACAGGTTCTTGCATTTTCTGTCCTTGGCCATCCGCTCGTCCAGTAGCTTCTTCTTCCGCTGCTTCTCTTCAGCAGTATCACCCGGAAGTTCCCTCGCGTACTCTTCGTCAGCAACAGCCTTCTTCAGACACTCCAGCAAGCCTTTGTCTTCCATCAATACTTCTATTCTGAGCTTCCAGTTCCCGAAGTTTTCGCCGTTAAACAGCCAGAGTTTGTCGTCGCTCATCTTGAAGTCTTCTTCCGTACGAATCAAACGACCGTTACTTCACTATCGATTCCGGTTCCGCTCTGGGCCCATAACCTAATAAACTAGGCAGAGCAATTGGAAAAGAACTTCTTTATTGAACGAAGGTTTGTGAAGGAATGAATAAATTAGTGACACGAATCTTCATGGGTTGCTACATGCTTGTTGTTTGGACAGAGTTGATCGGTTGCTACTCAAAATCTGGACGGTTCAAATTTGTACTTAACTATAAGATTGTCAAGATTTGAGTAAAATAACTGGTGAACCCAACAGCTCTCATTAGGCTAGTCGACTCAGGAGTTCTCAAAGAAAATCCATGCCTTTTCATGAAGCTGTAGTAAAAAAATGTGCCTTTTTTGGTGTTGAAGGTTCCTCTTCAGCTCTTCCACGAGATCATAGACCAGTTTCAAAAACTCCTTCAAAAGTCCTATCTGATTTGGCCGATATTCTCTTTTGATAACCAAGGCTATGCGAACCATGCCTGAACATACACACTTAGATTTTTTTGCCGAGATGGGCACCACCGAGCGGCTCGGCATTTTATTTTGCTGGAAATTCAGCAAAAAATATGTTTGTTAGCCGAGATCTCGGCAAAATTCCCGTTTGTTAGCTGAATCTCGGCAAGTTTTTCACTGAGATCCAGCAAAATAAAATGCCGAGCTGCTCGGTGGTGCCCATCTCGGCGAAAAAATCTAAGTGTGTACACATCAGCTGTAAACGGCAGTATGAAAATTGAATAGAAGTTGAAAATGAGCGAAGGGCCATTAATGTGACCAGTACAAAGTCAATCGTAGTAAAGTCGTTGGTCCCCGCTTCATGAGTTGATGGGACAATAGGTATGGTCCAGGTGTGGGAGCTGCCTTCCTGGCGTCGGTAGCATTGTTGCTTAGCAAGGAAAAAAATCAAGATGAGATCCAATTGACCGGAGATGAGCTTGCATGCAAGTTGCAGTATGGGTTGCTAGCATAGTACGCCTGACAACATATGGTAACTCTGGTTGAATGACATGTGCTGAAACAGCTGAAAAATGCGCGTTTAAAATCTTCGACATCAAAACAGACTCAACATTCTATTGATGGCTTGAACCTTCTTAGACGAATTCTTCAAAAGGTCTTTCTTTTTCGTTAAAAACTCTGCTGTAAGAACTTCTTCAATCGAACTGTGTGACGGAAATAGCACGAAATATATTCGCATCAGGCCTGAACATACTCATTATAGCTAAAACACTATTTCTCGAAATTATGAAACTATGAGATATTATTAATTTGCATATGTAAGATGCAAGAAGAGGAGGTATAGTTGTGTATGACACATAAAACCTCTCAATTGCTTTCAGAGGGTCACAATTGGGTTCTTTAATTTTGAAAAATGTATCGTTCTTTATTCATCATCTGAAAGAGTTTCGTTTTCGGAGCACAGCGATATTTTTTCGAACCCACACACTTTCATCTCGATATTTAAATCAAGATTTAAAGCAAAATAATAACTTCACTGTTTGACACTAAACTAACAAAGTGACAGCTCGCTCCCATACAAAGTGACACCGAGGGGCGCTAATAATGTGATTTTTGCAAATGTAATCGTACTTATTTAAAATAGTTCCAGTGTACCAACATTGATGAAATTTTGGGTTATGGTTCCATTTTTAATGCAGATTACGAATATGCATTTACCTCAATACCCTTAAAGAACCCAATTAGCTATTGTAGCTCGTCAGTCGTGGGCAGTACACTCAACAGATGGCGGTAGTGTGTAATCGTCAAACGCAAAGGAATCGACCATGTGTATGTTGGCGGTGGCACTGCCAACTAAGAAACAAACATTGATCCTAAAATGAGTGTCTTAAGTTTTTGCATCAACTTATTATACAGGTTGTGATCGATAAACTTTTTTGAAATCGTCATTGTCTCTGTGCCATGAAGATTGCAATTTTATCAACTTATATGTTATTTTTTAAATGGTTTAATATTCATCTATTTAAAATGAAAAACAAATTTACTTAAAAATTCTGCTCAGAATTATCATGGGATTTTACTTAAACTCACAAGAAACATTGTGGATTCTTCATAGAATTCATTTATTATTATGATGAAAAATCAATTCCTTCGCAAAATTTTATTATAAAATCTCCTCAGGAATCCTCCTGAGTCTATTCGTTTTAAAATTATAATGTTCGTCCGAATTTTCTTTGAATTATTCTTAAAATTCACTTGCTCTCCTCATATTCCTCCCATAAAATCATTCTCAGAATCGGCAAGGAATAACATTATTCTTCTTGAAGTTCTTCTCACAACTCTCATGGAATTATCATAAGAATTAACCTAAGAATTTAATCCAGAACATGCTTTCTTGTCCGAAGAAATTTATTGGAATTCATCTTAGTATTCCTTAGGACATTATCTTGTAATCCTGGTCAGAACTTGCTTAGGATAAAAGATTTTGAAATGATTCTCCTCGCCTTTCGCTTGAATTAAATGTTTAATTCCTTTCGAAACATTTCGTAGGTAAATTTCTCTTAGGAAAATCCTACCGAAATTATTCCTATAATATTTTGTAAAGAGTTCTGATCCAATTTTCAAGGTAGACAAATTTGAAGACTCAAATTCTAGATACAGGCACAATGTTGCTGTTATACTTATGGCCCATTATACTTAGTAATCTTTTCGGCGCAATCGCATTAGCTTGTATGCTTCCGGATAAAAAAGGGGAAACTGGTTATTGGAATTTGCTGGTCATCATGGCCGGCATACCGTTCTAGTTGGGTCATGATAAGCTATACTGCCTATAATCGCATAACAGTCCCATAAGGATGTTCATCAATTTTGAGATAACAACGCTATCCACTATCAACTGGCATCTACTTTCATATTATGCGATAAAACTACAAACTTCGATCATGCAAATGTGAGAACAACATCTAGTCAGTTTGTCCCATCAAGCAAAATAATCGCATAAGTCCCGTCCTTAAATTCAATCGTCCATAGTTAAAGTTTGAGTTTTGCCTTAGAAATGCCATATTTTTCGCTGATATAACAAAATTTGAAAGCTTCATTGCAACTGATTTTAACTTGAAAAAATTATCAATAAATTTGCTATAATTTTTCAAATATTGACATGGTAATTGCACTTCGTAACTTCGACGGCCATTTTCTCAATGCCTACTTTTTCCATATGGGACTGATATGCGATTATAGGCAGTATAATATATGGAAGAAACGTGTAAAAATGTCACTGAATATCCTACCAGAACCAAGATTACTAAATGTGCATCTTCCATTTCCTTCGCCCATTCCAGGTGCTCGAGTTGGCCGGCAACGCCTCCAAGGATCTGAAGGTGAAACGTATCACGCCCCGTCACTTGCAGCTCGCCATCCGCGGAGACGAAGAATTGGACAGTCTGATCAAGGCGACGATCGCCGGCGGTGGTGTCATTCCGCACATCCACAAATCACTGATCGGCAAAAAGGGTGGCCCCGAATAACGTCCCTAAATTTTGACTAAACAGAACAACAACAAATGATTAAAGACACAACACAAACCGCAACACGCGCCCCGAAGAGGACGAAGAAGAAGAAGAAGATCAAGTCTATACCACACAAACACATATAACAGAACAGCCACAATGGAAATACGAAGAACAGAATATTAACTGGGGTTGATTGTGCCAACGGATCAACCGGAGAGATGAGAAAGCATTAATTTTACTATAGAATCGCGTAGACAGAGAAGAAACATTACAAAGATAATCTATATCTTAGTAGAAATAATAACGTCTACATGACGATAACAACTGAATCGAATAGTTTCGTTTGCTATGAGTTTTAGCATCAGTTTTTAATACAATTAACTACAATTTGTTTTTCTTTTCTACATCCACTCTTCTGCCCTGTATCCAGACTAGAAAGGCTCGGACCGAAGCTCGGAGCCTTTCTAATCTGGGCTACTTGTATTCCGAGTAGCACGATTCTCTATATATTGTTTCTTTTATCCACGTTCTGCAGTTGATTTCGTGTAACACACACACCCGCCTTTTTAAAGAAATAATTTTTGTGTTTTTTTTTTCTCCTTTCTGTTCCCGGGGCCGAGGTGTCAGCTCAGCAAACAACAACAGCAAGTCGTCGTCGTGTTTAACTAATTTTTAACGCAAATTGAGAGAGAAAACTAAAATGAGAGAAAAATCTAAAAGAAACCCTAGAGAGTACATAAGTTAAGTGCGTTTTTCTTATTATATTTTCGATGAAAAATAATAAAATTTTACTATTAAGAAAACTGGATTTGCCTTTTGAGTTTTGCATTTCGAAATCACCTGCAAATGGAGTTGTTAAGCTAAATCCTTCGGTACAGTCCACTCTTTTTGATTCGATTGAAATCAAGGTTGAACAACCTCCTTATTCTCTACGCCGGAGTGAGGTGAGGTGACTCTTCGTGCAAATCAAATTACACCCGAAAGGAGGTGAAAGTAGACCATATTTGCAGCAAAAAATTGTATGAGCAGGTAGGTCGAAACATCATTCCTTACCGAGTTATTGAGCAATTGATTTTCTACTGATTCAAAGTGTCTCATTTTGCTCGGGTATTCCACTTACGTTCTCGAATTTCTGTTTCTATTACATTTAAATATAACATTAAACGGTTAGGACTTGATCAAATCCACCGAAAGTAAGCCTGAGCAGTCAATTGAATAGAGTGGTTAGCAAACCAAGATTGATCATAGTAGCCAAGCAATGATTACTCCCTGGTGGGCTTTGGTAATATTCGCGAGTGCCCGAGCAAAAAGTGGTAGTGTTGCTTGTAAGGAACGATTTTTCGACCTACTTTGTCACACAATTTTTTGATGCAAATGTGATCTACTTTCACCTCCTTACACAAATTACCAGTTATGCTGTGTAATACAGATTTATCTGTAATCATACAGAGTTTTCTCAATATTTTGAGAAAATTATGTTTATTAACGGATTACAGATTTTTAAAATGAGTGGATTTTTTTTTATTAATTCCGATAACTAATCCTTTCTTCCTGTTCAGCTGTTGGAGTTCACTCTTCAAGCACCAAACCCAAATCACATTTTCCACTAAATAAAATATTTTTGTATTATCTTCGGTAATTCTGATCGGGCTTCCGATATTCAGATGCTCTGATTTCTTGTTGGAAGGAGTTAAGTTTCCCTTTCTTATTGTTCAATTAACCATGTCACATGGACATGTGAAAGGAACGATTTTAAATTTTTCGAATCGGTAAACAAGTTTTAATGAACCTTAGCAACCCACAAACTAATTGATTCCAGTCAACTAGATCTTTTGATATTTGAATAACGTCATATCAGACAAATATTATATACAATTCGACCTCTCGCAAGCTGCAACCTCTCGGTAACCTCTCGCGAGCTGCAATGCAAAAGATATTAATAACAAACTAATCTAGAGCTGGGCTTAAACATTTAACATTTGCTAATACCCCGTTCACATTACAGCCTATATCACGTAATATAGGCTGTCTTGCAATGAGCACTCATACATAGGATTTCCAGTGAAAACTAGATGTATGAGTGCTCATTGCAAGACATCGTATATCACGTGATATACACTGTAATGTGAAAAAAAAATCAGATTGACCGCCCACGGTTGCTGCTCTGTTATTACCAGATCAGCTGCAATTACACAGAGAACCAACAGATGATGTTTGGGACTAACATGCATCCTCAATGTGTAAGAACTGGAGATCTAATATTTAGCAATACCAGCGCCGGCCGTGTCCGAATGCAGATCAACTAGTGAATGGGAAGGAATGTGTTGACGTGGTACTCGCTGTGAAGGAAACCGAGAAATCCTCTGCGCTTCCATGAGAAATCACTGGGATGTTGGATGTGGGGAAAGGTTGCACCGCACACGCAGGGATCGTTTTTGGTAGAGCGATTATAATACACAAACACACACGCGCGCGCACTCATCCAATTTCTATTTTTAGATCAGGACCCACACTGCGGTAAGTGATGCGATCGGTGTTAAAGAAGAATTTGTTTTTCATTAAAATCTAGTGGGTATAGAATAAGGCAAAGTGAAAAATTGCAAGGAAGGGGACGGGCCTGGGATTGAACTCCCGGACCTTCTGCTCAGTAAGCAGAAACGGTAACCACTGAGCTACCGAGCCTCGTCCGTGATATACGCTGTAATGTGAACGGCGTATAAAGTATTGCAGCGTACTGGCAGCCGAAAAACAATATAAAAAAAAAAAAATAAAAATGATATACAACCCACAATATCACTGCAGGCAAGCGTGTGAAGCATGTGAATCAAATTCATCGGTACGTCACAGCAAAGGCACAGGGGCTTACCCTAATAAAAAAAATACCATAAACGAACGATAACCCAAATCATTGAACTATTCCACAAATGGTTTGGATGATACCCAGAACACGTCGTTAAGCAAATTAACCATACAATTTTTATTAGGGTATGGCAACAAAACCCCAACAAGGAAATCAAGCAAGCCAATAGGAATTTGACCTGTGCCCAGGTCAAACAACCGCTCAGAATGTAGGTTTCTCATGTTGGCCATCTGCACCTCTGGAGGTTCCCAGGATACTTGAGTGAGTGAGCACGTGAAGAGGGACGTAACCCGCAGGAGCGGGAATGAAAGCGGACATAGCTCATGCAGCACAACAAATCGGCGTGCTGTTTTTGTTCTTCTCTTTTCAGAAAAAACAACAAATAGGTACTCTTTTATTCTCTTAAAGGGTTATACGGTCAAAATTTGGTCAATATCAACTTGACGTATTTCTTTCAATTTTGCATTTAAAAAACCTGAACACCCCTCATTTTGAAGGTGTGTGTGTGTAGAATATTGCTCCTATTTTGATTTTGGAATTCACTCTTCAGTTGTCAAAATGCCGTCCAAGCAAGAAGAGCAGCGTATCAAAATTTTGCTCGCGCATCGCGAAAATCCGAGCTACTCGCACGCAAAGTTGGCAAAATCGCTAAAAGTTGCCAAATCAACCGTTACAAATGTAATTAAAGTGTTTGGGGAACGTTTGTCGACAGCCAGGAAGTCTGGATCGGGGGGAAATCGAAAACCGGAAGCCGCTGAGACGACAAAGAGAGTTGCCGGTAGTTTCAAGCGAAACCCTAACCTCTCTCTCCGAGATGCCGCAAATAAGCTGGGTGTATCGTCTACAACCGTGCATCGAGCCAAAAAACGAGCCGGACTATCGACTTACAAGAAGGTAGTGACTCCAAATCGCGATGATAAACAAAATACCACGACCAAAGCGCGATCCCGGAGGCTGTACACGACGATGCTGACGAAGTTTGACTGCGTGGTAATGGACGACGAAACCTACGTCAAAGCCGACTACAAGCAGCTTCCGGGATAGGAGTTTTATACGGCAAAAGGAAGGGGAAAGGTAGCAGATGTTTTCAAGCACATGAAACTGTCAAAGTTCGCAAAGAAATATCTGGTTTGGCAAGCCATCTGTACCTGTGGCTTGAAAAGCAGCATTTTCATAGCTTCCAGGACTGTCAACCAAGAAATTTACGTGAAAGAGTGTTTGAATAAACGTCTGCTGCCTTTCCTGAAGAAACACGGTTGTTCCGTACTGTTTTGGCCGGATTTGGCATCTTGCCATTACCACAAACGAAGTGACAGACGACTAACTGGCAAAGAAATCCATTAAAATAATGTGGTTCACTGTAATAGAATTTTCTTGGAAGCTTGTGCCATCATCCACCAGATGGGTTAGTTTTTTTGTTTTGATTTGAACAAAGTTTATTTTGTGTACAATTATTCTTTGACAGTGTGCAAAGAGTGTATCATTTTGTCATTTTTTTATGCATTTCAGTTTTGAGTAGAGTGAAAGAGATAGAACCAAAACATTCTAATACATTTGGTGAAAATGCTAGTACAATCCAGTAGTAGTGTTGTCATGTGGTACAATCCAGTAGTAGTGGTGTTGCCATGTGGTACACTGAAAAATTGAAATAGCAGGTTAGTCACCAAAGTTTTCGAGCCGCTCCGTCTGTCACTTCGTTTGTGCCATTACGGTAAAAAGGCCATGGAGTGGTACGCCGCCAACAACGTGCAGGTGGTTCCCAAGGACAAGAACCCTCCCAACACGCCAGAGCTCCGCCCAATTGAGAAATACTGGGCTATTGTCAAGCGGAACCTAAAGAAGACCAAAAAAACTGCTAAGGGCGAGCAGCAGTTCAAGGCAAACTGGCTTTCTGCGGCGAAGAAGGTGGACAAGGTGGCTGTACAAAATCTGATGGCAGGGGTCAAGCGTAAGGCCCGACAATTCGGATTTGGAAAAGCGGAAGCCTAACTGAATATTTTTCCTGAATTTTATACTAATTGAACTTGAAAAAGAAATTTAATTTGATTTTTTAAATAAACGATTTCACCGATTTACACGCGTTTTCCCTTGACCAAATTTTGACCGTATCACCCTTTACTATCCCCTACAAATCTGAAGCTAGTGGGACTGCCTACTGGAGCAACAGGCCTGCTGGTGGAAGAAAGTCGTTATGCTATACGGTCTAGCATAGGCCACGACCAAAATTTCCGCAGGTTCATACCTAGCTTAAGTGCAGATGGGCGGGCGATAGTCGGTTTTTACGTTGAAAATACATAATGAAATTGGAAAAAATTGTGATCAAATTTGAACGAATTTGGTTGCGATTCGGTTTTGCAAGAGAATGTTAGTTTGTATGCTCTGAATTAATTAAGTTGAGTGAGGCGGAAAGTTACAGTTGAAACGTAATTGCCATTAGTATTAGATGAATTTTGTTCCGAAGAAACAAAAATGGACATAGCTAGATGAATATTTAAAAAGGTCCTAATATTTGAAATGTTAGGTATTGTGGGGTATAAATGTGTCACCCTATCAATAGAGATGTTAGCCGATAGTGTTCGTGCAACACGGCAGTGTGGTACGATTACGAACGATCATTGGAAACACGAACGCTCAACCGAGTCAGACGACGAGCGCAATCGACACTGCCACTCGTCCCTCTTTCGCATTCCATCTGTCGCCGTGAACGGACGTCTACACAGCCGGTGAGTAGCCTCAAGAGGAAGCGATCTCGTCGGAGCAACGGGATTTTCACATTGGCGATCCTGCCAGGTTTGCTGCTTAAACTTTTAAGCAGCAAATAAAGGTGACCTGAGAGGAAAAAAATCATAGTTTCTTTGCAAGTTCTCTCCGCAGCGCCCACCATTCGGTAATAATTCAAAAAGGAGAACCAAAAAAAACGTCAAGAGGTCATGTTTGATGCCCA